CTTTCCTTATCTTAATATATATAAATCTCGTGTCACAATGTTTGTCCTCAATGGACTCCTAAACCACTTAACCGATTATAATAAAATTCGCACACCATGTGCAGTTCGATCCAACTTGAGAGATAGGATAGTTTAAATCTCAAATTATAGTCGCAATTTTAATTTATTGCAAATTATTACTTTTGGGCGGTACGAAGTTAGTATAATACGAGTCAGCTAGTATAATATAAGTTATCGAACTTATATTTCAATTTTTTATCCCTACTAAAGACGTCTAATGTGAAGTTTCTATAAGCTACTTATAATTCTATGAGTAAAATTTCCTTTACATATATCTTATTTTCGAGGAGGAAATCGTCGAGAGCCAAACCTCGAATCCTGCCATTTCAGCGTTAGCTATTGTTGTCCCTATGTCACGGTAATTGCCAATGCGCGAGAGCATTACCACGGTAATATTACCGTGGCATTACTTTTTTCTAATACCTATTTCTCAACTGTCTGTCAGCTCGCGTCCGTTCTTAAAAGCTTACCTTAGGTGCCTACATAAGCCTACAATCTTTATTTTCTTAACCCACTTTGTGGTACCGAAAAAGCACATTGTGATTTCAGAACGCTTCCTCTGAGACAAAGGGAGGTTAGAAAAATTGCACGGAAATTGTCCACAACCCTTTTTAACTGCGAAAACTGAGGGCCTTTGTGGGTTGTTATATCAAAGAGAATGAGAATTTGTTTTCTTTATTTTTGAGGTTTTATTTTGAAAGTTGTAAAAATCTATTCTTAATGAAATTTGCATTCATATTGTTGCTACAGCTTAGGTATTATTACTTGCAGAGGTGCTGTAAGCATTGCGTGGCTACGATACCCGTCTTTGCCAAAAAGATAGTTTTATGCTCTTTGTATATTATGTCATATAAAATAAAGGGGGTGTTTTAAGTGGGGAAAACAAAAATTGTTTTAAAGCAATATGGATAGGTCGAAATTAAATTAACAAAACTGCTCGGGCGTCAGACCTACCTCAATAGACTCGCCGGAAGTGTATTAAACTATTAATCGCAAGTTGAAGTAACAGAACCCAAACTCACTTTGGGTTGTCTATATAATGAAATTTCTAACTAAATACTACGTAAATTAAAAATTAAGTAAATTTCTAACTAAATATAATGAAATTTCTAAGTAAATAGTAATTCAAGAAAAATCGTAAATGCCAATGATTTTTCTTGAATTTAGAAGCTAGGTCCAATTATCATCTTGTATTTAACTGAATTTTATATAATGGAATAATTTTCCCTTACCGGGGAAATCCCTTGTTATAATAAATTTACATGTGCTTACTGTCCCCGCTGCATCGTTGTTATGTGTTGAGTTGAATGTATGTATTTAAGCCTCGCTCCTATGTAATGACAAAGGGTTATTTCGTGGTACAATATAAAATTTTCTAAAGTATAAAATAAACGCAGTACGGCTGAAAATAAACAGTCCGCAGATTAGCACATGGCACAAACAAAAAATATCTATAAAACAAAAGACATTTCGAAGGCTCTCACCGTTTTATAAAGAAACTAGCGGACCCGACAGACGTTGTCCTGTCTACACGTCTTTGTGAATCTAAACCATTCTCAGATCCCCTTGAACACACACAAAAAATTTCATCAAAATCGGTCAAGTCGTTTAAAAGAAGTTCAGTGACATTCACACTCACAGAAGAATTATACAGGGTGGGCCATGAATTAGTTAACATTTGAAAAAATCGTATAAAAAAACCATTTAACATATTTTAGAAATCGTTTATTTACGAGAAAGTTAATTAGATGTAATTTATTTTTTAAAAATTATTTCATCTAAATGACCACCGTTTCGGTTTTTGCACTCATCTAAGCGAGTCCTAAAGTTTTCGAATACTCTTTTGCAAAGAGGCCGCGAGATCGCCGACATCTCTTCGATGATTTTTTCTTTAAGTTGACGCAGTGTATTCGGTTTATCAATGTAGACACGACTCTTTAAATAACCCCATAAAAAGAAGTCTGCTGGTGATAGATCTGGACTTCTGGGTGGCCATGGGACGTCACCCCGTCTGGATATCAGCTTTTCCGGAAACATGTCTTTGACCACCGGCAAGGACTCGTTCGATGTGTGACACGTGGCTCCATCTTGTTGAAACCATGTGTTACGGTTATAGCCAGCAAATTCCAGTAGCATCGGTGCTAAGAACTCCCGTAACATTTTCACATACTCGGCAGAATTAACAGTAACTGAACGGCCTCGAGAATCTTCAAAAAAGTAAGGTCCGATGATTCCTTTTGCTGAAATTGCAGCCCATACAGTTACCTTGGGAGAGTGAAGTGGCCTCTCATGTTTAGCTTTAGGATTTTCGCTGCTCCAGTACCTGCAATTCTGTTTGTTTACATGTCCATTTAGGTGGAAATGGGCTTCGTCAGAGAATAAGATGTTGTGAAAATTACTGAATCGGGTTAACATTGTTTCGGCATATGACTTACGCAAATTTAAATCATTAGGGTTTAGTTCTTGCACTAGCTGGATCTTATATGGATGTAATTTCAAATCTAATTTCAAAATACGGCGTAATGATGTGCGGGATAATCCTAATTCAGCCGAACGTTTGCGTGTCGATAAATTTGGATCACGTCGAACAGAAGCGGAAACTTGCTGCACGTTCTCTTCGCTCCGAGAAGTCCGCGGGCCGCCGGTTTGTTTCACATTTAGTGTAGATCCCGTCTCTTCGAACTTCTTCACCCATTTCTTTATTAAAGGAGCACTTGGACACTGACTTAAGTCGTGTAAACCTTATTCAACGCGAAATAAGCGTCTCACAGTAATGAGCGAAAAGTTGTTTAAATAAAACTGTTTCACGCAGTAAGCGCGTTGCGGCCCCGTGAAGCGATCCATTGCGACTAAATTTCCAAGAAGCGAGCTAGTGCCCCCGCCCGCGCCCGCGCCCCGCGCGGCAATAGTTTGCGCGGTAAGTTACATTTAAATGTTAACAAATTCTTGGCCCACCCTGTATATATAAAGATTAAACAAAACAGCCCGACAGCCATCTCCACGGCAAACTTATGTCTCCTGCTCAAACAAAACCTACATGTAAATTATCGAAATATTTAAAGGAAATCACTTTTTGAATTTAGAAAAACACTTACCATTATAAATTATTGATAATAGTAAAGATTATATCAATATTGAACAAGATTATAAAAATATCATGTTCAATGGTTGAATGAAAAAAAATTCGTCTTAAAGCGACTTTTAAAATTTTCTTCCTTTTGTTCTTTCCAAAAGGCAAGCAAAGGAATCAGTCTAGAGAGTAAAAAAAAACGCATGGACTAGCGAAAACGATCTATGGTAAAGGAAATGAGTGAGATAACCTAAACGGAAACCTTCTATCTCTCTCTTTAAACAAACAAAACTCAAGTGGCGTTTTTAACACGTTACAATACAAGTACTGTACCCGTAGCACGAACCAAAATCGAATTCGTAACGTTTGCGAGTCCGAATTTCCGTCCGTCATTGTCAAATGTGTACTGATGTTTAGTTCCCGTTACGTCCAAAGTGGCGCTGCTGTTCAAGTTTCCATACAAAATTTGACATTGACATTTCGGTTTGCAAACTATTCGAATTCGATAATGGTTCGTGCTAGGTGTACTGTATTTCTATTTCTTTGGCACGCTCTGTAGCCTTAACGGCTTGATGGATTTTGGCTTGAGAGGTGTCGTTACAACCAAATTCTTGTTTATTGACTTTAAAAGTGCGTGGCAAATGTTAATAACATAAATGTAAAAACCAGCCTTCCTACTTTAACGTAAGCCAGCATAATTTTTGCCACCTTCCATATATCCTTCCTCTATGCAGAGCCTGCCTGGAGGACGAGGAGATGAGCGCCCATGTGCTGCTGGAGTGCAGGGGCGTTGCAAGACAAAGGACTTCTCTAATGGGAAGCTTGAAGACAATAGTAGAGGCCTGCAGTAACGTTCGGGGACTGCTGAGCTTTCTGGAGGAGCTGGGATGGCAGGACTGATGCCAATCCCCACGCAAAATAGGCACTGGGTGTCGAGTTGCGGAAACAGCCCTCCGTACTACTAAGGCTAAGACTAAGACCATCTTCCATACCTGCAGGTTGATTCAGTAAAATAAAATCTCACTTCCGATTTCGGTAACTGCCATTTTAGGCATTGGTTTTTAATATGCGTTATTCCAGGGGTGCTCAAACGGTCGATCGCGATCGGTACCTAGAAATATCTATATATGCTACGGTACACCCTACCTAGGTAGGTAGGTAGGTAGGTGGGGTGTATCGTGTATATACGACAACCCTGCATCACACATACGTGCAGCCAGACCCGTCTTTCCCAGTGGGCACTTTGGGCAAGTGCCCAGGGAGGGCCCCGCGATCGATAGGGGGCCCCTCAGATCAAATACAAAGTCCCTAGTTAAATCACCAAACGTAAGTCCTAGGGGCCCCATTATCCTAATATGCCCAGGGCCTCCAATAGGTCAAGGACGGCACTGCTTGCAGCCTCTCAGAGTCGATCGTAAGTAGCATAAAAATTTTGAGGTAGATCGCCAGCAGTTCAAGTTTGAGCACCTCTGCGTTACGCAATTACACGGCAAAATGTCGCTATGTCTGTAGAAGCAGCCAGTTTTAGATGTTTGACATCTAAATCACGTGACCAAAAATATTTTATTTAGAGTTCCTTCGTGCTTCGGAAGGCACGTTAAGCCGTTAGTCCCGGCTACATCTGCAGTCGTTAGCACCCGCAAATCCGCACTGGGCCCGCGTTGTGGATCATGGCCTGATCTCCCTATTCTATCCATAGGGAAGGCCTGTGCCCCAGCAGTGGGGACATTAATAGGCTGATGATGATGAAATCACGTAAGTCTGAGAACGGTATCCGGGTATTATTTCGTATAAAGTAAAAGCCTTCCCAGTGTTATGTTTATTATTCCGAATCTAAAGTAGCAAGGTGAATTAATTAAAAAAACATAAATCGTGTTTATTTTACACTTTATTTTCACAAGATAGAGAACATCAACAAATCTCTTAAAAATTACAATAACGAAAGTCTAATTAGAGCACAGCTACAAATCTATAGCTGCATTATACAATATTTACAGTGATAAGCTCTTTGGCCTTTACAAAAAAAAAACATATACACAAAACATTTTATTTAAAAATTAAATAAAAATGAACCAAATAGAAGGTAACGAATTTAAAATTAGCAATAAAATTTCAACATTTCAAATTATTTTAAAAAATATAGTACATTTACATATTCATAAACCGCATAATTGTACAGAAACGGTGCGCGCGAGTAAACTGTGCATTTTATACAAATTTCACGAATACTGACGTCGGTAAACCATTTATTGCTAAAAATTTACAACTTAATTCACATTTTTAATAATAATATAATGATAAAAAACAAACGGAAGTCAAGTCGTGAAACCTAGATAGAAGTAAAGAGTTTAGAATTAGCTTTTTTATTTAGCTTGATTTTGTAAGAAACTTAATCACTATCGCGCGCTGCGATATCATAATCTTTAATATAAATAATAGCACTCTCGACTTGAAAAAAGTCACCCAAAAAGCAACCGTAAATTTTCAAAAGAACTGATAAATTATGCTACTAAACTGTTATACATAAATTGACCAGAAAGAAAAAAATATGAAAAAAAAATCGTATTGCTCGTATAAATAATAAAGTAATCGTGAAAATATCGGTGTTTTCAAAAATTATCGTTTAATACGCAAACGCAATCAAGCAAGCCGAAACGACTTAGAGACTTGAAATAAATGCACATAAGTTTAACACTTAAGTAGCGAAGAACACTAATAGATGCATATCAAGTAACACTTTACATCGGATAAGTACCAAATGATAGGCTTGGGAGTTTTAATAAAATAGCAATATCTCACATCTCCCGCCCTATCATCTTGTAGAGAAGCGAAACTACCTAAAGTAGGCACAGAAGGGTTCAGTACATTTGGCTTATTACGGGAAAAACCTCAGGAATATCACATCAACTATATTTCGCCCTTGGGTGGGAAATTATACACAAACGGAATGTATGAATGCACTTAAAATTAAGATGAAAGTTAAAGTACCTAGGTTAGGTTTCTCTACGAATTTCAATATTGTTGCCAGAGAAAATCTTTGTACACTTCTTATTAAAGTTCTGTGTATTTGCAAAACTAGCAAAGAAACTTTATACAGTGGTATTAAACGCTTATTAATCATCATCTAAGCAAGACTCGAATCAAGGATTTATTGAATAAGTTACATAGTAAATATTTATCTTAACTTAATATTGCATAAGTTGTTGAGATTTTATTGTGATGAAAGAAAATTTTATATATTTATTGGACTCGATTCTGGCATGATTTACTCAGGTTCGTTAGCAACTCCGGTACAAAAACTGCTCGTGAACAAGATTAGTATAGACCCGTGTAGAAACCGGGTAATAGTCGTTTAGTTAACAAGCTCCTTAAAGATTAAACTGCTGTTCAATTTAGCTTAAAGTTAAAAAATCATCCCAGAATAAAAGCCACTGCCTACATTTATTAATAAAAAAAACAACATTAAAAGTTTAAAGAGCGCTACTCTTAACTAATCACCCAAGGGCTTAGGGTAAAGCGACAATTAATTACTACTAAAATTATCCTAGTTTACCCTACAAATAGCGTTGAGCTGAGATCTTGCACCTAAAGTTACAATTTCATTTATACCTATTAAGATTACGGACTAATCTACGTTTATTTCAACGTATTCTGATAAACGCGGAAACCAACTGTTACTTAATAATGATGGTAGGGATTATACGAATCTATAAAGACAATGATGTGACCTATTTTAATAAAAAAATAACCGATTTTATCATCAACTGTGATACAACCATGTTTCTAGAAAAAAAATCTTCCTATATAGAATTTTTAAATGAATATACGTCTTATATTATATAAGACGATATAATCCAGAATAAATTTTCTTATAGCTCCGTATAACACCATGATAGTCTTATGTTCCATGATCGGAAATCTAAAATGCAATTCGATCTAAGACTACCACTACAACAAAAACGTATTTGAACTATTATTAATGATTACGCGGGTCCAGTGTCTAAGGCGATTCTCATATTGCCCCGCACTACGCTGCGTACTGCGACCGCGACTGAATGCTTGTTCTTTCGTTACTTGCAAGTACCTCTCCTTGCTATATTTTTAATTTTAAAGCATTTAACTGCTGGTTGTTTAAATCTAAAATACTAGAAAAGATACCACGCGGACCAGGCAGCAGACGGGATTCGAACCCGCACCCTCCGCTATCCGGGCGGACGCACTGACCATTATGCTACCGCGGCCCTAATGGCCATGTCGAATTCTTTCTAGTATTTCTTAGGCTGCAAAGCAGCGCCATCTCTTCGCATTGTAGGTAAATCTCTCTTTGTATTGAAACATGCGTAGTAGTGAAACATACTCAGAACGCATTCACGCGCAGTATTGCAGATCACGCAACTATATACAGAGAAACACGAGATTATAGCCAAATATTATAGCCAATTTATTTGTATAGCCAAATCCGCATGATGATGCAGATCTGCATCCCGCAACGAAGTGCGGGGCAGTGTGAGAATCGCCTTAATGATAGAGTTCTGTACTACATACATAAAAATACATATAGTAGGTGAAGAATAAAAAAATATTACCTACTCCAAATTGACATTATTATTACAAAAATTTAGCTAATTTTAAAATGTCACTTCGAAACTTCGAACAGTTTACTTACACAAAGTCAAAATATTTGAACTAAAATTTTACTATTTAATATATTGGTGAATCAAATTTGCATTTTCACATACATAATGGTGCGCTTAGAGACGCCAAATTAATTTAATGTCGCGTGCTGGCTTATTTTCTTTGCAAAGAAAGTGACAGCACCAACTTAAGTTATTTGACGCCTCCGATTTCGGTCGAATGTAATAAAAAATATGTTATCCCGATTATAAAACGTATCAACAGTTATCTAACTTTAACTTACGACAGTAGTCAAATTTAGAATCGATATCAATTTTAGTGTAACCGAGTGACATAATCGAATAATGACAAGTTTTCCAAACATCCATTTCAACTGGCCCATACACGTTTCGAATTTTAAAAACACGTAAAAATCTACGTCAACTTTTTTTTACACGAAAATAAGTTGTTCCTCGTTATCTTCCCAACTATACAGTGCAACAATATTACGCCTTCACATCGCTTGGCAAGTCATGTTTGCTATTTGCAAACTTGGCAACAATCTGTCCTTATCATACTTTATAAGGAATGAAAAGGACAGACTGGTGTCATGTTGACAAATAACAAACACGAATAGCCAAGTAAAGTGCTGGCATTACACATAGAAAAATCGATTATAAATAAGTGCTCACAAACGAGTCTCGATCATCGACACAAGCCATTGAGTCATTAAAACCGTTACTTCTAGTATATCTAGTCAAGTATAATTTGGTAACTATATATAACACGAAATCTCTCATTTTCAGTCACAATAACATGTGATGTTACGTATAATATGGGATTCACTTTATCCTCAAGTAGCGTATACGAAACGATCATAATCTATATCTCTTTAGGAAGCTTAAAAACACTTTCCAAATAAAATATCGCATAGAACTTCAGTTTTTCAAATCCCAACAAAACAATGAGATTCGCATTTCGTTTAACGCAACCTAAACGTGACAGAGAAGCGTTTCGTTTCGCTACAAAAGTTTTAAGGAAAAAAAATTACGAAAATCTTTTTCCCAATCTCAAATTAAACCTCTTTTATTTAGTTTACAGATTTACACGATACTCCCACATTTTCCGTTCGTGAGCGACAGATTCGGCCTACCGAGAGTCGCGTGGCCAATCGCCCCTAATCCAGAGCCGTTAACATCGAACCCGTTCATATACTGATTATTCTGTAGACCTATGAGAAGTTCGACTAGTGCGTTCGCTGCGCTCTGAGCGTTTAGCAATTCGAATATTATGCAGTTGCATTCCGGTTCCGGGTTCTTGAGGGAGTTTTTGCTGGAGTTTGATGATGATGAGTTCGTGTTGGAGCCGGGCGGGTTGGGGTGAAGGGGGCAAGTTAGCTGCAAGTTTTTAGGGTACTGTGGGGGAATACCGGATAGGTGGTTGGCCGCTGCTCGCGCGTAGAATACGCACGTGTGACCGTCCGCGTCCGGGAAGTTCGGGTTGCCGTTGTGCTGCAAAGAAAACAGTCTGAATTAGTATTGGGCACATTTTTGAAGTGATAACTTCTTATGGGAGGGTAAACCGCTTCGTTATGTAACGCATTACGGCGCCAGTCTGTCTAGCTTCCTCGCACGGCACACGCATACGGCAGCGGTTGGCAGGCTTATCTTTTTTCACTCTAACCCGCAGCGCCGCTTAGATAAGTTTAAATTATCGTTTCTGTCGCGCGCTCCGAGACGAACACTCTTTTTTTATATTTATTGTAATAAAGTCTTTTTTTTATTTAGACACTACAAGACATCTCCCCCATTGAATGTAGTTTCATTGTAGTGTACTTATTTAACTATCGCTCGGCGGCACGCAGGGCGAGGGCGCTTTCGTGCGGGGAGGGCGCGCGGGGCGGGGGCGCCCACAGTACGCGCGCCAGCGTGCTGCAGGCGCCGCGCGTGTGTGTATACATACACTCACCCACACCAGCAGCTGGGCGGCGGGCAGGTGTCCGGCGGCGGCGGCGGCACGCAGGACGAGGGCGCGCTCGTGCGGGGAGGGCGCGCGGGGCGGGGGCGCCCACAGTACGCGCGCCAGCGTGCTCATGGCGCCGCGCGTGTGTGTATACATACACTCACCCACACCAGCAGCTGGGCGGCGGGCAGGTGTCCGGCGGCGGCGGCGGCACGCAGGGCGAGGGCGCGCTCGTGCGGGGAGGGCGCGCGGGGCGGGGGCGCCCACAGTACGCGCGCCAGCGTGCTGCAGGCGCCGCGCGTGTGTGTATACATACACTCACCCACACCAGCAGCTGGGCGGCGGGCAGGTGTCCGGCGGCGGCGGCGGCACGCAGGGCGAGGGCGCGCTCGTGCGGGGAGGGCGCGCGGGGCGGGGGCGCCCACAGTACGCGCGCCAGCGTGCTGCAGGCGCCGCGCGTGTGTGTATACATACACTCACCCACACCAGCAGCTGGGCGGCGGGCAGGTGTCCGGCGGCGGCGGCGGCACGCAGGGCGAGGGCACGCTCGTGCGGGGAGGGCGCGCGGGGCGGGGGCGCCCACAGTACGCGCGCCAGCGTGCTCATGGCGCCGCGCGTGTGTGTATACATACACTCACCCACACCAGCAGCTGGGCGGCGGGCAGGTGTCCGGCGGCGGCGGCGGCACGCAGGGCGAGGGCGCGCTCGTGCGGGGAGGGCGCGCGGGGCGGGGGCGCCCACAGTACGCGCGCCAGCGTGCTGCAGGCGCCGCGCGTGTGTGTATACATACACTCACCCACACCAGCAGCTGGGCGGCGGGCAGGTGTCCGGCGGCGGCGGCGGCACGCAGGGCGAGGGCGCTTTCGTGCGGGGAGGGCGCGCGGGGCGGGGGCGCCCACAGTACGCGCGCCAGCGTGCTGCAGGCGCCGCGCGTGTGTGTATACATACACTCACCCACACCAGCAGCTGGGCGGCGGGCAGGTGTCCGGCGGCGGCGGCGGCACGCAGGGCGAGGGCGCTTTCGTGCGGGGAGGGCGCGCGGGGCGGGGGCGACCACAGTACGCGCGCCAGCGTGCTGCAGGCGCCGCGCGTGTGTGTATACATACACTCACCCACACCAGCAGCTGGGCGGCGGGCAGGTGTCCGGCGGCGGCGGCGGCACGCAGGGCGAGGGCACGCTCGTGCGGGGAGGGCGCGCGGGGCGGGGGCGCCCACAGTACGCGCGCCAGCGTGCTCATGGCGCCGCGCGTGTGTGTATACATACACTCACCCACACCAGCAGCTGGGCGGCGGGCAGGTGTCCGGCGGCGGCGGCGGCACGCAGGGCGAGGGCGCGCTCGTGCGGGGAGGGCGCGCGGGGCGGGGGCGCCCACAGTACGCGCGCCAGCGTGCTCATGGCGCCGCGCGTGGCGGCCGCCCGTAGCGACTCCAAATCGGTGGACACGCCGGCGGGGCAGAAGAACGCCCGCCGCTCGTATTTCAACCTGATCCATCTACGAGAAATAAAGACAGATTAAAATTGCATCCGTGATACGCACGGATCAGCATCATCTAGCAGCACACGGTCGCTTCGCTTACTAAGGACGCGATAATAATAATAATAATAACTTTATTGCTTAAAAACTGTGTACAATTTTCCAGTTGGAATTGCAATAATAACAAAGTCACAACAGTGTGCCCACAACGGGCATGCAATGGTAAAATTTATAACTTAAAATTTCTTAATTTAAAAAGTACATTTTAGAGCCTAAATTATATTAAGTTTTAAAAGTATAATATTCATCAAGATTATAAAAAACATTATTTAATAACCAGCTTTTTAACTTGAATTTAAACTGTGGCAAATTGTGTGCTTTAATTTCTGCAGGCAAATGATTGAAGATCCTTATACTAGTACTGAAAGCGCTATTATAATACAAGTGATTATTTATCCTAGGTATGCATATATCATATTTATAATTACTACGCGTATTCGGACGTAATGATATGGTTTTATTTTCAAAGTATTCTGGATTTTGTTTAATAAAAATTGCTGATTGTAATATATAAATATTGGTCAAAGTGAGATAGCCCTTATCGCATTAGTAAAACGACTGACGCGACACGACGGCGCAGTTCAATTTCTAAACACACTTCTGAAACTTGTCTACACAGACATTTTTTATTTTTATTTTATTATGGTACACCAACAAAATACATATATTGCATAATATTAACAACCTTATTATTGAAAATACTTTGTTTGGTTTTAATAAAAGGTATACACATGCAGTATGGCGTTGCAACGAGCAAGAAAAACGCCAGCGTATAATAACGCGCTCTTTCACAGTGACAATGTTATCAAATGTCAGGCTATGCATGCATATGGGATATGATAACAAAACGACGCTATTTTTAAATGCCAGCTGCTTCACTACGCTAACGGAATAAACGTAGTCTCGTGGAAATTACAGAAACAATATAAGCTGTACGAGCAAGCGCGTACATTTGCCCCGTCGGAATTTTACGCCACATGCATTTATTTAGGTTAATTATGAATCAGTTCGTCATCGGTCATTATTCGTACCACGCGTTCTCACAGTCATATCGTTTTAGTTTCGTAATTATCAGTCTGTTATCAGTAATATATCACTTAAACATATCAAGACTTTCTCTTCTCTCTCTTTATCATAAAAGGTGTACAAAACCCGTACACCTTTTTGGTCCTTCGAGCCGGATTTCTCTAACTCGTAAAGGCAATAGTACAGGGACCTAAAACGACGAATGAATTACATCTACCTGTGTGTATTTAGCTAATTTTAAAACTAATTTACGTTATAAATGGAACGCATCATATAGGGATCTGAACAAGCTGTCAACAATAGGAATACCAACCAAATTTCAACCCTATTTAAATAATTGGAAACACCTACCCAATTTCAAAGCTGCCTAATAAATAATAATAATATAATTTATTTGCCAAAATACAGTTCGTTGATACATTTTATAGAAGTAAGTACATGTATTCTACCTGCAGGCATGTGTGCAAATATTGAAGTCAGCTATTTTGTCATCTGTCATATATTCCTTAATACTATAATAACATTTTATTTATAACCATTTTGTCAACTTACTTTTAACATTATTCTAGTTTCTAATTTTATTTTGTCGGGTAATTTATTATATAGGGTGAAATTGAATGTTTCTATGAAACTTCGTGAGATTGTTGGGTTATGTGTATAGAGTATGCCTGTCTTTTTTCGGATTTTTTTGAAGTATATTTTTTTCATGTATTTATTTATAATTTGTGTATTTTTATGTCCTTTCCTCGTTTTGAGTAGTTATTCATTTTAAACAAACAAACTTACATATCCAGTGAAAAACAACTAATAAATAAGCACTTCTAAAAAACGGAAAAACATTGAAATTCCACCGCGGGTCAACGACCGACCGCGCCCGCCAGCCGTTGAGTAAGTAGCTACCTAACTCTACACAGAGCTCAACTGACTCGTTTGATTCCACACAATAGGTACAATAAAATCGTCTTAGATGCCTTTATTGAAATTGAAATAATAAGCACAAATGTCATCTTTTCTTAAGCAGAGAAAAACTTTAAAAGTTAATAATAATTTTGTCACGATTGGAAATAGGCAAATGTTAAACAAAAAGAAATACTTATTGCTTAATACCCCAAGAATGAAATTTATAACCAGGTATTCAAAAGTACTTACGAGACCGGCGATTTAGGTAGGTACAACGAGGAACGAGGAACATATTCATTTTTTTCACTAGAACTTTTTATCAAATCAATCACACTGGTAGTACACAATTAGTTGTTTCTAATCAAAAAGTATTTACACTGGCAATAAAAAGAGACTTAAATTATTATCTGCAAAATTGTTGCTCTAAACCACCATTTTGCTGCAAACAAAGGTTGCCTGTTTGCGGACGTGTCTTTTCACCTTTTTTAAAGTGTCCCTATCAATACTCACTGCACAAAATGCAACTTCTATGGTTTAGGGACTCATTCGTAAACCAAACCTACTTCGTCACACTCGCGATAGCAGTACACCATCTCTAAATATTCTTGGTTTGTATACCGAGGCATAATGAAATTATCACAGTGTATGTCACCAAGTCAAAAGATGCGCACGCTCACGCGCGATTGAAGTATATCAATCGCGCGACTGCGTTTTGCATGCAATCAAAGCAAACGTCCGCGTGCGGGGAAGAGGGGAGGTGGGCGGAATTCACATCATCAAAGACGCCGCAACCGGCGCTAGTTGCCAGCGTGCGGCGCGCCGCCCGCCCGTGCTTGCCGCAAAACAACATATTATTATGTGTGTGTGTGTATGTGTGGCTGTGGCTGTGATTAAATGTGTTCGGAATTTCATGACGTGGGCAAATCAGACACGAAGAGTTCCTTCCTTCACTAAACTCGTAAGTTATACCGATTTGCTCTTAATTTTAAGAAGATTTATTTTATTGATTAATTACCTGTGCTTTATGAAATAATATTCAAAGGTATTGTGTATCAGTGAATAAATAATTATAATATAGCATCTAAGACTATTTTATTGTATTGTTTTTAAATAGTGTGGATCAAAGCGAGTAGGTAAGCGCCGAGTCATCTGTGCGTGTAGTTAGGTACCTACAGGCGGCCGCCGGTCGTCGCCCCGACCGGCGCTGATCTCGACTGGAGGCATAATGAAGGCATTCATTAAGTTTCCGTTTTTTTAGTAGTGCTTATTTTAAGTTGCTTTATAACTTCTATGTAGACGTGTTTAAAATGAATAATTACTCATAAGGAAGAAATGACAAAAAAATAACCAAATAAAAAATTAAAAAACGAAAAAAATTATTTTAAAAAATCCGAAAAAAATCAGGCATACTCTATACATGTAACCCATCAATCTCACGAAATTTCATAGAAACATTGAATTTCACCCTGTATATACATATTAACATGTTGTAGGCATTTACTTTATAAATATATGCGTGGCAAGGAGGCTGATATAATAAGTTTCTATATTGACATCTCGTGTGTCTATTGCTCATTTCTGCGCGCTTCTCGAAAAACTTGATGTGTTCCCTGACAAAGAAACATGCTTCCTTTATGTACATGCAAGGCAATGGAAGTATTCCAAATTTTTAAATGGGGGTTTGCAGCTTTCAAGAAACCAAGCACCATCTAACATTCTAATGCATTTTTTTTTGCATCCTAAAAACTCTATCGATGTCTGTTACCCCCATAAGAGCAGCCCATAATTTAAAGCGGATGAAACATATTCGTGATAAGCCATTCGCGCAGCCTTTGTAGATACTGTTTGTCTCAATCTTTTTAAGGCAAAAACGAATGTATCTATTTTCGAATATTGATAAAGATGCGGTTCTCCCATTATAGAAACTCTATTTAATCGTAATAATAATTTAAAAAGGAACATTTACCTTTCTTTCTCCTCCCTCGTGGAAGCCGCGTGCGGTTTCGTATGCCCCCGTAGGTCCGCCTCCCATATTGAGTTGGCTAAAGCATTGCCCAGTGACACCATTACGCTTACGTGGCCCAACCTGAGGGAAATAAAGAGAAAATCAATATAATTTATACGAAACCACAACATTTTTTATCATTCATTTATTCAGGTGCCTTTATTCTTATGAAAAGGAGATAAAATTATTCATATGGTCATTCGAACCTTCAATCTAGTGACATTTGTCAATGACTCCACTCAATAGTTCTTCCATTAATTGTTACGCTGACGTATTTACGAGCTTGTTTTTATGACATATGTCAATTATGAGACCGTAATCTGTGCCCATGGTGTCAAATTGCTATGATAAAGACGTCAAATCTTAAGTGGATATATAGATTTAGTTCTTTGAGTGACCGCTAAAGGCGCTGTACAATCAATTTTCCATACAAATCTGTCGCTTAACAATTCTGTTACTTTGTCGCTAGCGATAATAGTATTTGTAAAAGTCGTGGTAGACCTACAGAACTCAATAGGCTGTATGTCTGATAAGATAAAACACATCATATCATTAATCGGTGGAACAAAGGAATAAAACATACTATAATTATGACATTTGTCCATACTCACGGCCATTCGTCGAGGTCCAGGGATCGAACCCGCGATATGTGCGAGCCGAGGTTCCTGTGCACGCCCGAACACTCGATGCATATCAGCACGCCCAGATTTAAGCTCGCCCAATCGGGATCTGTAATAATATATTAATGTATAAATCTAAAGAAAATTTACAAGAAAAAAGTCCACGCGGACCAGGCAGCAGACGGGACTCGAAACCGCACCCTCCGCTATCCGGGTGGATACACTGACCATTGTGCTACCGCGGCCCTAATGGCCATGTCAAATTTTCTCTAGTATTTCTTAGTCTGCGCAAGGCAGCACAATCTTTTCGCATTGTATGTAACTAGAGAAAATTGGATACGGCCATTTAACACATAGCTTAAGGATTATTCATTATCACCCTATTAATGTCTTCACTGCTGGGGCACAGGTCTTCCCTGTAGATGGAAACGGGTGATTGGGTCGTGACCCACTACGCGGGCCCAGTACCTTCAGAAGCACGGAAGAGCTCTCAATAGTAAGTTTTCAAATAATGCATTTAAATACTTTATTCCAAAGTTCAAAATTACGAGCCACACAATGGAGTACATTCGTCTACCCGTTTCTAATAACCAACTTACCGCACTAATATCGTACATAACTATTTTAGTCACCCATTCAATAACCGACCATTGCGAAAGTTGCTTAACTTTCACGATCGCAGACCGAGCGTTAAGCCACCTGCGCCATTGAGGTCCTCCTCATAATAAATTTATTTATTACAAACATACAAATGTTTTTTTTTTCTTTTTTTCTATCGTGAGTTGACTAGGGCTTTCCACTCGAATTGGAGCGAACTTTTGAGCAAGCAACCTGCATTCTTATAGAAGACTTCTATAAAATAACACTTATCACCTTTTAATCGTCTTGTGTTTCTGTTAGTGAGTAAGGTTTCAAGGGGCCTACCGTCAATCGGGATTGCTTTGGCTATTGATATAGCTTATGATTTCGTTTTGTTATTTCTGACCGCCTAAAAAAATCCGACGAGTAATAAGTCAAACCATTCGATGACAGTTCATCCATCAGTCAAGAACTTGACTGCCAGCTAGGGTTGCCAACCCTACTATATAAGAGGATCAAATACTATATTTTTATAAGAAAAATATATAGTAGGCGAAACTACTATATTTTGCTTAAAGCGATTATTGCCAGTAAAAGCATTCTTATAAAATAAAAAAAAATATTAAGGCATAAAAGAGCAAAAATATATACTTTTTAAAACTAAAGTACATATTTTTACCACATACTATATTTATTTCCATCATTTTGCCATCTACTATATTCTTAGAGGTAACAGCTTCGAAAATAATATATTTGATAGAAAAAAAGTTGGTAAACCTACTGCCAGCAAACTGATACCAAATCTATCGCCTAATATAGAAAAAAGTATGGATCCTACCTTGTGCCCCACAATCGCAGCATTTATCGTTTCCTTTCACCCGCCGTATGTAGTAGGTGGCTCTCACGTCGCCCGTAGAATTAGCACCCGTAGGTGCCGGTTGCCGAGACGTCTGTAACAAAACACAACAAAATTTCTATTCAATAGAACATTTACGTCAACTTGTAGATTTTTTCTAAATCTCAATTTAACTAAAACTAAATTTAGCCTTGACAACAATGTCTGATTGACATTCACTATTTGTCATTTTTCTATGGGTTTAGATCTCTGTTACTATAGTTATCATAACAATTTCATAGGCGGGATATGGTTCTTCTAATATGTCGCTATTATAGTATACATTTTGTAATGTTTCATCACATATCTCATGCATGGCACTCCCATCCCAGGCGCCACCGATAACCGTCTATTATTTTTTTTGAGTGTGTATGCTGTTTTTCGCAAATGACCTTTGCAGCGTCACCGGGTTTGGGGACGGCAAGATCCTAAGGGGATCTCAAGCCGAGAATTGGCGAGTGCCTCTAGAGGTATTCCAGGCGGATGGCATCTCCCCACGGGGAGTCTCCGCTTCGTCTGGAGCCTCTAGACTATTGGAACCTGAATGGGTCGGCGCAACTAGAGAGCGCCTCTGAGACTCGGACCTCGGCTATAGTTAGCCGTTGTGGTGGGGAGGCGAGGAAAAACTCCCAGGTGCGTACCTGTACCTGGTATAGCGTGTCGTGTGTAGACCGGGTTTTCGCATTCTTATCCTACAGGTGCGGTGTCTGCCTAATGCTAAGCTAGTGTGCAAGTATGCTAGCCCCACTGGGGGAGTCTCCTCTCCGTCTGGAGCATCTAGACCGCTCGAACCTGAGGAGACTTGCCGTCCAGGCTGCCTATCTGTATATATATACATACCCGGCCCTGCAGCGAGGCCAGTATCTGCGCCTCGACGCAGGCCACCCAGGCGTCGCGCTCGGCCGCGGCCGCGCATCCAGTCGCGCCGACCTCCCATCGCCACCGCTTGCCGTCCAGGCTGCCTATCTGTATATATATACATACCCGGCCCTGCAGCGAGGCCAGTATCTGCGCCTCGACGCAGGCCACCCAGGCGTCGCGCTCGGCCGCGGCCGCGCATCCAGTCGCGCCGACCTCCCATCTCCACCGCTTGCCGTCCAGGCTGCCTATCTGTATATATATACATACCCGGCCCTGCAGCGAGGCCAGTATCTGCGCCTCGACGCAGGCCACCCAGGCGTCGCGCTCGGCCGCGGCCGCGCATCCAGTCGCGCCGACCTCCCATCTCCACCGCTTGCCGTCCAGGCTGCCTATCTGTATATATATACATACCCGGCCCTGCAGCGAGGCCAGTATCTGCGCCTCGACGCAGGCCACCCAGGCGTCGCGCTCGGCCGCGGCCGCGCATCCAGTCGCGCCGACCTCCCATCTCCACCGCTTGCCGTCCAGGCTGCCTATCTGTATATATATACATACCCGGCCCTGCAGCGAGGCCAGTATCTGCGCCTCGACGCAGGCCACCCAGGCGTCGCGCTCGGCCGCGGCCGCGCATCCAGTCGCGCCGACCTCCCATCTCCACCGCTTGCCGTCCAGGCTGCCTATCTGTATATATATACATACCCGGCCCTGCAGCGAGGCCAGTATCTGCGCCTCGACGCAGGCCACCCAGGCGTCGCGCTCGGCCGCGGCCGCGCATCCAGTCGCGCCGACCTCCCATCTCCACCGCTTGCCGTCCAGGCTGCCTATCTGTATATATATACATACCCGGCCCTGCAGCGAGGCCAGTATCTGCGCCTCGACGCAGGCCACCCAGGCGTCGCGCTCGGCCGCGGCCGCGCATCCAGTCGCGCCGACCTCCCATCGCCACCGCTTGCCGTCCAGGCTGACTATCGTGAACTCGCAGCATGATGCGCTCTCTCCCTCTAAACGACAAAACATACAGATTATGTTAATTATAGTAGCTTGGAAAGTTTAGAGGCCCAACCAAAGACAATTGCCTGATTAGTATAAAAATAGATTCGGTTCGGATGCTTGTAAAAATGAATAGAATTTCAAAATCAAATCCTTACCTTCTTCACCATCTTTCTTGACACCGCTACTTTTCATCCTCCTATGCCTCTTCTTGACATCTTTATCGCCGTTTGTGGCGGCGTCGTCCGAGGCGATCGACTGTCGACTGGACGCGGGCTCCTTCATAGTGTCGAACGCCGACAACAGGGCCTTGTCTGTCACCCTGGTCGGTTTGTCTTTATAACCTATAGATAACAAATTAGATATGTTACTTATTAAAACTTTAACATATTTTTTTGGCTTTTGCGTGACTGTGACCCTAGAAGTGCTGAAGTACTGTTGAAGCACTTCTTGATTAGGATACATTATGAGCGCGCGTGGTGTATCGCGCTTTTTTTATATCGTTGTTGCGAACATTCTAACCTTGTCATACTCTATTGGGAAAGATAAGGAAAGGCTACTGTCGAATTTACATATTGAAATGCGAGAAGCAGCCATGTAAAATGCATTGTAAAAAACAGGAAATCTCTGCAACTATTAAACCGTCATTGAAATTTCTTTCACCAGCGGAATAAATTATTCGCTAATAACATAAAGTACAGTTAATAGCTTTCAAATCAAAGCTGTAGCATCTAATATAATAATATTGAGATGCAAAATGAAAAATTCACAATAATCGATGAACAGAACCTAAAAATAACAACACAGCGTTATTCTGTTATTTCTTCAACTTTTCTCCAATTAATTCTTGTAAAAAAATGCTGGGCTGTTTCCAAGTCAAACTTTATTTATCCATCTACTCTGGTAATTGCTTTGTTAGCACGACTTTAATGAACAGATGAGACGCATTAACAAAACTACCACAATCGTATAAAATTCCATATAATACGCACATTAGAGATTCGTATACGCGATAGTAGTACGGCTGAATCGGAGCGTGAAGCAATAAACAATAACTCAATGCAACGAGGACATCATTCGGCAGACGCTTCGCAAATTATCATTTGATATGAAGATTTCTGATTGAGACATTATCTTTAACTAGTTTAATTAACTGTTAAAAAGATCTTTAATCTACAACACATTACCGACACTAGCATAAGAACACAATTCAGCTGATGTATTTTCATTTTTCTCTTTTTACTTGGTTTGTGATGGTTGTTTCAATATTGTAGTGAAATAAGCAAAGGACATTGCTCAGCTTCCATACATGTTTGGCCTAAAGACCTTAGATAATCATGTAAAAATGTTTTCTAGATTCGAAATTATATATAAATTACTGTAGAAACGAATTTTATTGACGAACACCCCTGAGAACTTCTATAAACCATATACACTGAATGATTTTGAGGTGATGTTTGCAAATTAGTACATTGTCCTTTGCAATATCGTCCATATATTCTCTTACCCCCTTATTAATAAACAAGGAATAAGCTTGGACTAGTTACGCTGTATTTTGTCCATATCACTCAAATGCCATTTGTCATACAATGAACAGAGACAAAACATGAAGTAACTAATCCAAGCTTAGTCTTCGTTTATTTATAAGGGGATTAGAGTTTTCTGGCCATTTTCAGCGAGATACAGGAATAAACTTAAGCACACTTTTTACAACCTGTTCTCTTTATTGGGTTAGCTGGAACTGTTATCATTCAGTATTAGTAATAACTAGCAAACCAGTGAACCAAATGTTCACCAAAACCTGATTTAAAAAAAAATGTATTTAATTAATTGAGAACTTCGGAGATTTTGTGTGGTTTCGTTTGAAATTCGTGATTTCTCGAAAACCGGAAGTGCTACGTTACTCAAATCCGGTTTGTAGTCTTATCAGACTATTCTTAACTTATAACTTCAACATTCTCTTTATCTATCTCTTACGGTTAGGCCGCTGAAACAGCACCACAGACGGACGGACTTGTCTAATAGATAAGAGATAAGCAATTTCACATTATCAGCGATATTGGAGTTAACTTCAAACCTAGATGGAGAGCGGAATAATCTTAATCTTAGGAATAATCTTAGACGACCTCCGTGGCCGAGTGATTTATACGCCGGGTTTCGTGGTGTCGCCGTCTCGAGAGGTCCCGGTTTCGAATCCCGGTGGGGGCAGATGTTTGTGTGATGAATACGAGCATTTGTACTCCAGTCGTGGATGTTTAATATGTATTTCTATATAAATATACTTATATTGTACAATATATGTATTCTATCCGTAACCCTAGTATCCCATAACACAAGCTTACAGTGCTTACTTTGGGGCTAGGGTTATTGGTGTGTGTTGGAAATATTTATTCATCTTAGTCAGTGGGAGTCCCAAAACATAGTACATGGGGACTTTTTAGAACATAGGTAAATGGTTTTAGCATATATTGAGCTTTTGCCATATATGCGCATGTGCATTATTTGATTCCGTCGTCAAACTCAAAAATAAAGAGGGAGGGAAAGAGATAAGAACAGTGTACTTACTACATGGGGACTTTTTAGAACATAAATGGTTTTAAAACTAGTTTTAACGGATTAATATAGCAGCCTTTTCAGGTCTGCATCATTATTCTGACGATGCAGACTTGAAAAGGCTGCGAAACGTCAATAAATAAATAATAATAGTTCGTGCATTAACCCGTTCAAACTAGTTTTATTTAATGAGTGATGTGCATGAAACCTAAGAAACAAATATAAATGGTTTTGTCATATATGCGCAAGTGCAATATTTGAATCCGTCGTCAAACTCAAAAATAAAGAGGGGAGAGATATAGAAACAGTGGACTTACCCAGAGATAGTCCTCCGATGCTGTCGTGTATATCGAGACTGGTGTACCCGTTGTAGCCGGGCACCGTGGTGATTATAGACTTGGAGCCGCGCGGCTTCTGCCCGGGCACCTTCACGGTGACGTATTGTAATGAGATTTCTTTGCCGTTCACATCCTCCATGTAATCCTAGAAAAAAGGAATAGTTTTCGTTATTTCAATATCAATTTGTAAAAAAAATAGTTAAAAACCTTCACATTGAGCCCTTGCATTTGATTAATTACACGGTATGTGAACGAGTTACCGATCGTACATAGGTTTTTGTTGATGTATAAGTACATAAATTTAAGGTCGTGCCGCCGCGTTTCGTAAGCGTGTGCAATTTGTACAATAATGTTTAATTACTTATATGAAATAAATCAGTGACAATTTAGCACTCTAACGGGACGGTTTTATTTATCATCACCCAATCGTTCTAACTTATCAGTATCAATTATCATTTTCTATTAAATGTAAGAAGGCTAACGCATTACCCCTTACAGTATGGTTAGCTAAATTTCAATTTTTAATTTTCTATTTCACTCCCTAACAGTAACCCATAGTCGGAATTTATTTATTTACTTTATTACGTGTTTGGGATACAGAGATACAATATATGTGCCAAATTTTAATGACCAAATGTAATTGCACCATAACATTGTTCACGTCTCCATTAACATAAGTATCATAAGTTTTAACTGGTTTCAGAGAATTGCAATCAACTTTATCGCGAATCCAAATCCTCTCCACTGTGCCAAAGATAATGCGGATGAAACGAAATGTATGTTACATGCAGATAACAGATAGTAATCTAATAACACAAGGGCCGTTCTATGGAAGCGCTATGCGATATATTTTATTTATGACAAAGAAATATTTGTTTTTTTTTAAATCGGTCGAAATTTGACAAACAGAGCTTATGCATTTACTTGTTCATAATATGGATGACTAACTTCTTTTTCTTCGCAGATAATCCAAAGTATTGGACACGTATTTTTTCTTTTTTCATGTTATAAAAACATTACAGAGATATATTTACAGTCATAGCTTACCATTAAAATGGAATAAAAAGTGCTTTATTTTGGACAATGTTCTTTTTTCTGCTTTATAATATCTATTACTTTATTTGGATAAAAAAGGTAGCAACCCTACTAGGAAGTGACGCCACCAGCCTCAACTTCCAAACTTTTTCATTTTTGGTTGCTTGACAAAAGAAGAAATAATTCTCCATTATTTCTTGATAATCTAACTGAAGGACTAATTTCGTTTAATTTACCCCATCATCGTCCCTACTATCGAACTGCAAGGCCACAAACAGACTGTACGTTTTGAAATCCACCCAGGGAGACTCAAATGTACAGTGCACACAATCTATAGCATTTTGAGAAGAAATCAGTCGCGATTAAAGATTTCAACACGGGCGGACGACCTTAATTATAATTTAACGTTCCAATAGAAGTCATAAAAATCTATTCTACTAGGTACTTTATTGAGAACAATAGGGATGATGACTAATTTTTTTTTCTTCGTTTATCAGGGTAGATTATCAAAAAGTATTGGACACGTATTTTTTCTTTTTTCACATAATATAAACATTGCAGAGATATTTTGATTTGAAACGTCGCATGACGTCACGTTTGAGTACACTTATAAGTGAAAATTCACTCAAAAGTGACGTCACGAGCCCCTACTCCCAAACTTTGACGCTCTATAACTTTGTCATTTTTTGGTTGATTGCCCAAAGAAAAAATACGTGTCCATTATTTTTTGATCATCTAACTGACGGACTAAATAGAATTTCGTTTACTGTACCCCGTCATCACCCCTATTGAGCGTTCAGGTGAAGGCAAGAAGTTTTAACAACAAGTTTTACAATCATTTACATAAAATATATATTGTACACTAGTTTATGTGCCAGATGCTAATTTAAACCTTACTCTGGGTATTAATAAGTTTCGTAACGACCTCTTATAAGGCTACTAGCGGCCCGCCCTCGCTTCGCTTCGGTGTAGAGCTAAAGTGTAGACTACAGTTTTTATTCTCAGGCTTGTATTATACACAATGACATTAATCTATGATTCTTCTTATACCTGCATGTAAAGTCTCAGCCCGATCGGATTAAAATTGACAAAGTTTCATACAAACTTTCATTCCCTATTTTATCCCCTTGGGGGTAGAATTGATCAAAATCCTTTCTTAGCGGATGCCTACATCATAACATCTACCTGCATGCCAACTTTCAGCCCGATCTGTCCAGTGGTTTGGGCTGTGCGTTGATAGATCACTATGTCAGTCAGTCACCTTTGAGTTTTTTAAATATAGATTATGACGAGAATAATTTAATTAAAAAAAAGATATTTATTAATAGCAAGCCTCGAGCCAAAGATTTATAAATACTAGTGAATGTCGCAAATAAAATTATTTATGTACACTTTTTGGCTATTTATAAATAGAATGTGGTTACGCGACACGAACTTCACGCAATTATAATTTAATTTTAGATTTTGACGTGCGTGTGCAAGAGATTCTTACGAATATTTTTACAATTGCCACTTCGACACTGGGCCTAATTCTGCTATGATGCTATAAAGCTAAAACACTATGCAACATTCTACTTAAGGCAGATTCAACAACTAAATAATTGGTATAACTGGTAGTTTCACCATCAGCCTATTAATGGCCCCAATAAGGCCTTCTCTATGGTTGGTATACTCCCTATTCCAACCATAGAGAAGGCCTATGGCTATGATGATGATGATGATGATATGGCGATTGGGCTAAGATCTACCAGCTAAGCGGGTTCAGTGCGTATTGGTGGCCTTCCGAAACACAACTTCAAGATAGTAAATTTTTGGTTACCCATACCGCGAAAGTTGCTTAACTGCAACGATCGTAGCCGAACGCGCTAACCACTTGCACCATCGAGCTCTTCCGCCATAGTTTAACTATAGGATAATCTATACTTACATGTAAACTGGGATGGTATGTGAGTCGGCCATCATCGCATAGCGTGACATACTTCTTTTTCCACTCCTTGTTCAAAGCCTTACTACTCTTCTTGTAAAGGTATCCCTGTTTCAGTGGTATCGCTCTACCAGAGCCCAGTTCCCCGTTCTTTAGTCTGTCATCTCCTTTCTTGGAGGGTGTGAAGAGATTCGATCTTCTTCTCGACTTCCTAGAAGTTGTGGGGGTGGAGGAGGGGGTCGGTAGGTCTTTTGGGTCTTTGACTGGCTGGAGGTTGTCCAAGCAGTGTGGTGCGGTGAATTTGACGTTGTTGTTTTCTGTTGCTATGGAGACGAGGCCTGATGAGGAGCCGTGGCTGCCGAGCGAGTTGCCCCACCGCGAGGAGTCTGAGCCGTTGGTGCTGTGTATTTCGACCACGTGGGTGGACGATATCCCACTGCTGTTTGATGACGCGTCGAATGATGAAGCGCCTCTGTGCAGGTGGTGGGAGGAAGCGGAGAGCGTGTGATGGCCGCGTGGTAGGGAGTCCTGAAAAATACATTAAAGAATAAAGATGTCATTCTTTTCTTTAGAGCATCGAAGATGATAGCGGAAATGAACAGTACCTCTTGCACGAACCAATATCGAATTTGAATATTTATAAATTTTGTGTGAAATGTCAATGGTAAATTTTGTATGGAAACTTGAACAACAGCGCCATAATGGACGTAACGAGAACTATAAATCAGTACACATTAGACTATGACATTTCTCACTCGCAAACTATTCGAATTCGATATTGTTTCGTGCTAAGGGTACATAAGACATCAATCCTAACAACTCAACATCATATTTATGTTTCATGTTAAGCTTTTAAAAAATACATACTTTAGTTCGGAATAGATAAACTGACCCCTGTAAAATTATTGTTTCTTGTTAGATAATTATGTGGTTCATTCTTGCACTATTTTGTTTAACAAATTTTTACAGAAGTATATCCATTTCAGCTTAATAGAGGAATGAATTAGTGAAACTGCCAGAACTAAGCCAAATACCGTTATCATTTTGTTATTTTTATTTTCACTGTCAATTTTGAATTTTAATATTGCATTAAAGTTCAGGTTTAAGATCGAATTTTCAATACAAAACTGATTCTTATCAATTTCACTTAAACTGCTTGATTCAATCAACCTGTTTAAAAGTCTTGCATGTCTTTCATGTACAGGTATTATTTATTAATATTACATTCAATTCATTTTACATAAACATTAGTTGGTACAATAGTTAAAAACCCACTAATTACAAATCATGTGACAAGTCATAATTTCACACTCAATATCACAATGCTGTTGTTGTTCTGTAATAGGAAATTATTGTCATAATTTATTACGAATATGCAATATGTTTTGTACACATAAAAAACAATAGTACTAAAACCGACTTCTTTCACGTAAACAAATGTCCATCATCAACTTATACCTAATGTAAAATGACGACCTCAGTGGCGGAGTAGTTTATACTCCGGGTTTCAGGGAGTCGCCGACTCGAGAGGTCCCGGGTTCGAATCCCGGTGGGGGCAGATGTTTGTGTGATGACTCAAATCATGGATGTTAACATTTATTTCTATATAAATATACTTATATATACATATATGTATTCTATCCGTTACCCTAGTATCCCATAACACAAGCCTTACAGTGCTTACTTTGGGGCTAGGCTAATTGGTGTGGCTGTTGGAAATATTTATTTATTTAATGTTCACAGTAATAATAGTGTGACAATGGTGCAAAGCCAAGCTAATGAAAAAATATTACATTGTGGAAAGAATGTCGATTTTACACACTTAAAGGTTAAGAAACATGCTCAAAACCTCAAATTAAATTATATAAGTGTTTCTTGGAAAGACTAAAACTAAATTTAGTTTTAAGTTTAGAGAATTATCCCAGAATCAACACCATTGACTTAAAAGTTAGCTATTGTGAATTCAGACATATAAACATTTGGCCATACAACAATTATGCAAAAAAATGCATTAAAAATATTCATTTACAAAACAAGATCATGATGTGTTATGCCAAATGAATTTCAGAGCAACAAAATTCTGCCAGATACCCAACAGACAAACAAAAATACTTTCAAATTTATATTTAGTGGGGATTTATCTTTATAAAACTTATCACTATACTTACAAATAAAATTACCAGAAATAAATTATTAGAAAACCCTCACTGTTATCAATCAGATAAGATTATATTGATACTATTAGTAACACAACAAAATATCCATCTACGTCATAGATAAATAAACCCCAAAAAGATTGATTCAAAGATTTTTGAGTTTTATCTCGACAGATTCCGTTCCTATTAATAAATTTTTATGAAATGAGAGGAAACAGCCTATAAAATCAAAGTGAGTTTTTCTTACGATACATAGTAAGTGTATATATTCAGAGCCGAATTTAGAGGTGTAGAGGCCCTAGGGCTAATAAATCCTAATGGACTGGGCTGGACCAGTAAGAATTTGCACCCCTCCCCTTCCTGGTTTGATGAATTTTGAGAAATTAGTTTTTATATTTATGGATTCGTTAAGCATTTAATTAACTGCTAGATGTTTAAATCTAAAGTAAATTTCACTAGAAAGAATTGCACCCAGACCAGGCAGCAGAGACGGGACTCAAACCCTTGAAATGTTTAATACTTGTAAAGGTATTCATTTGACATTATAGGTTACCTACAATGGGAAGAGATGAGACGGCCCTGCAGCCTAAGGCTAGAGAAAATTCGAGACTACCATCAGGGCCGCGGTTGCATAATGTTCAGTGCATTTGCCCGGATAGCAAAGGGTGTGGATTCAAGTCCTGTCTGCTGTCTGGTCCGCTTAGAATTTTTTCTAGTGAAATTTACTTTAGAATTAGTTTTTTATTCTCTGTTGTGGGAGGGCCTCAGTTGCACCTGCCCTGCCATAATCCAGTCCTGTATATATTTACAATAGGAATAGTAATCTCAATAGGTTTAAATACTCAATGGTACAATGCCTTCAATCAAGAATAATCAATTAGTATCAAAGTAGATAGATATTGGTGTCGATTCTGGCATGATTCTCTAAACTTAAAACTAAAATAAACATCAGTCTCTCGATTTATATTCTGTATATAGAATGACAAGGATATGCTGTTGTCAAATTTAAGTTTAGGTTTGGGTACCACTGTTACTTCCTTTGAGATGGCAACAGAAATAAGATATTGATTTAGATTAATCTAACTAGAAAAGGATTGAATGAAAAAAAATAACTAAATGTGAAACTGTTTAGTCTTCCCACAATATATTGACAGAATTGTGGTAGTCACAATACAGTAGATATTATGAAAGAAAAAGAAGAATAAGCCATGTCACATTTGGCAAGCGTTAAATTTAAATTTGAAGCTTTTAAACTACAATTATTGTTATGATAAACATTTCTATACAATCTTAATTATTGAATTTTGTCAATGCACAGCCTAGACTGCTCTCTTTGTTAGCAATTTTTATTTTAAATTCCCATATTTGTAATTGATTGTTATATTTATTAATTGGATCATGGATGACTGACATGATTAAAATTGCTTAAAAGAAAGTAGAAATTAAATTGGAAATTATTGATCTTGACGCCTTCACCGTGACTAAAATTACTTTTCAGTTCATTGTCCCAATCCCATAAGTACATTTCACTACAAACTATTTTGTGGAAGCTTATTGATGCGTGAAAAGAAACCGGCGTATTAGAACAACAATAACACACCCACCTTGTAGAGGAATGTTGAGTGGTTGTGACTTGGAGAATTTGCCAAAGGTTGTGGCGTGACTGGCCGGGAACCACCAGACAAACATTGTGATGATGCCGACAGCCTAGTTCCAACTATTTTCTGGCATGCTGCAAATACATTGTAATTTTAAATACTCAAGACACCACATTAACATTCCACACATATCACCAGCGAATTCGCAACGAAAACAACGGTATTTAACAATAATATATTCACACACATTCAAAAGCCGATTTTCTACGATCGCGCTCCTCAGCTCTTTGTATATTATAACACGAACTCCGACGCCTAAGACTGGATATCGGTGATAGATTTGATTTGAAAATCAACGTTTTATCCATCATTTAATTCAGAAATATTTAAAATATTCACGTAATAATAACGAAAGAACAAACGCGTTCAAGGCAAAACAGCGTTGCAAAATGTCAAAAAAAATGTAAACAATGCGCATAGAATGAATGAACGAACGACCGCACGGCTGGGAGCCGGTGTTACCACTGCGCGCGTCTAGGACTCCCCGGACACCGAAACAAGATCAACTACTTTGCGGCCTACTAGACGCATCAAGTCGCGCACGCGGCACGCGATGTAGGAGCGATAAAACTTCGGCGTTATATAATTTTATAAAAACTAGTTTATGACAGCAGACTCCATGGAAAACTGGTTAATAAGAATGTCCGTTGATTTTGAAAAAAAAAATATTGGGTCTGATTTATCGTGTGATATCATTATTAATACCGATATCTACCATTAATTATTGATTAAATACATGATTTTAAATCCGATATGGAAATGGAAACCAAAGCTACTGGAAAATACTTATGTTTATCGACCAAGATATCTTAATTAAACACTGAAATTACTTATTAAATATAGGCTATCTCTAGTGGCAGAAATACAACATAAATGATCACGACGATAGCACTACTATCTATGTACCTATCAGTGCTGAAATATACTACTGTTTTATACAAATTACAGAATCATGACATCATCTCGCCGTTGTAATGTGGTCATTATAGTTCGTTGATGGAATGAGTACTCACCATCTTGGAAGACTCTTTCTACATTGAGACCGTACGTCGCACACGTCTCATAGTATGAGCACCTCCGTAGTTCGTTCGACAGCTTGCGAGCCCGGTTGTCATCCACGACGCGTGGACTACTTTCACTTATGGCATCTAGAAGAGTAACCGATCGTTTAATAGGAAATTATTAGAAACTATGAATTTTGCGCTAGCCATGTTACAAAATTACTTTCTTTATGAATTGATCAACGATCATAGTCACGCAACATAAATGAATGCACCCATAGTTTTTTATTTTATTTATCAGATTCGGCTAATCATTTTTTATTTCTATAATTGTAAGAAAATATTAAATCGCATTAAAATTTTTGAAACATTTAATTAAAAATTTTGGATGTGGAATCAACTTACCTTGGGTCCCCACTAAAATGATTGGAATCTCAGCAGAATTTCGGTAGTGAGACATTTTATTGAAATAACTCGACACTGTGTTGTAGCTGACTTCGTTGTCGAGGCTGAATACGAAGATCACAGCATCGACCCAAGCCGTAAACTGTAACAATACAGATTCGGACATCATATATCGGAAATATACAATCATCTACATCAAGAACTATTGATGAAATCAAAATTGCCCAAATATTCAAGAAAATCAGAGAAAAATATTATAAATACATTAGAGATCACTGAAACATAACGCACTAACTCTGTATAATAATTTATACGGAAGGTAATAATGTAATGATCAACATTTCCAAGTTAGGCACGCAATGTTACATAAGCTTGTAATTACAGTACAGTTACCCTAGTGTTGCAAAATATCGTATGTACAAAGAAAAAAACCGCACCCTTCTTTCAAACGCATCATAATTACTTGGGGTAATAAGTGTACGCGTAGGGGTTAACATTAGAAGGGTTAGACATGACATGTCGTGCTCATATCTTTTTGCTTAGCAAGCGTACCTATTAATAAAGTTGAAGAAGACAATATTATACAATACAAATATTTATTTTTCATATATACTTTTTTTTCAAAAGCTTTTGATAAATTCCCAAATATTGCGAAGTCAATTTGAATATGGAAAGCTACAAAATTAGCGACGTGCCCACCAACAACATGAATCGTGAATCAAGGTGAATATAATGTAATATGTATTCATTTTTTAGATATAAGCCTACCTAGCAGTTTAATGCTTATATACAAAATCAACATAATTAAGACATTATAGAATGTGCGAACATCTTTTTTTTTCCATTTGACTTGAATAGGAATAGCTGCGTGGGAGGGTGTCACCCCTTCCTCTATAACAATCGTCGCTACGAGAGGCGACATCCGCCATCAGAATGCGTGAGGATGACAGGAGAAAAATCTTACTTAAAAATTCCTCTTAGTCTTTTGTTTGATGAAAGAACATACCACAAAAATTGTACCCACTATTAGTGTTTTACAGCTTTTTACAAAAACAAGTTTTATTTACGATAATACAAAACTAACTCAAAGAAAGAAAATCTTTTTTGTGACACAACTGTTATAAAGTATATAAATACATTTATGAAACATCGATAATTAAAGTAATAATTGTGTAAAAGTTTCACGTTCTTTCAAAATATATTTACCATTAAGTAAATTTACAATTATAAATATAGGAGTACATTTTTATTTCGTTGTACTCTAGGCACAACATGAATTTTAATGAGGGTCCTAAAAGAAAATTACGAGTAGTTCGCATGTCGTAACTTAGTTGTAACCGTGAAATGATTCGAAGGTTGCCGTTTGGCCTGCACGCAAATGTGGAATACCTTAAACGACGCGTGAAATGAAATAATGACACACATAAGATAAAAAACCTTGATCAAAATATCTCATTACTAGCATTACTAGTCGTATTATGAAGTATTTGATATACAGGTATGAAGTATGTCCCTAAGTATGAAGACAATGAAATATATAATGCACTATAATGCATCACCACCAAAAGAAGTTAAAATCTAAAATTTTATTCGAAGATGTATCGTTTTACATATTTGTACCTATGCAATTAAAAGTTGACAATTCAAAAACTTATTAAATAGTGTATTTTGTCCTCACCTATTCATTCTGATTCCTTTTTACAATTGGATCAGCTTACCACTGAAATCTTAAGCGACCACTGTGTACAGAAACTACAAATTTTTGAAAGTAATTGTTAGTCAAAGTTTAATATAGCGGTGTATTCAGAGCGAAGCACCGATTGCGACTGGGCGGGCGGGCGGCTCCAAGCTTAGGCGGGGAAACCTGTGTTTTTGTTTCATTCCCTCATCCCCAATTTTCCCTTTACAAATGAGATAGCCAGAATAGATGCACTAACTTGATCCAATGCAAACCTTGCAATAGAACCTATATTTCTTGCGTACCATATAACATGGTCTGCGTAATATCCGAGTTGACTATATTTAGAATTACGGTGATCGATTAAAAGGGTTATTATTACCATGAATTTTGAATCTTTTCACACTAGCCCGCTATCTTGCGTCAGTATGGAGTCGCTAGAATTTTGCTTAATTCAACAAGTTTCGTCAATTCATATGGAATTTATATGCGTGTACAATTTTATTGACTAAGACAAGTATAAATACTTCATCATGCATTACATGATAGTACATTCATCCAATTTTCAACGTATCAACAATAACAATAAACCTTAATTAAGAAAAACTATGAATATTTTAAACTGATGAACCTACAAGGGTAGCGCGTTGGGGTAATGTTCGCTGAGAGCAACCAACTTTCTCAGACCTTGAGCTTGACGCGTCGCCGTCGACTGCAGCCTGGGTTCACATAAGTCCCAGGCTCAAGGTCACATTAAATATTTGAAAATAGAAATTAAATTCGTTATTTGGAATGAATGTCAGTCTTCAATAAACGATCAAAAATGTTGGTAATTAAGATTGGATTTATCAAACGTGCCTATAAATAACCTAAGTAGTTAAATAATTGCTACAAGAAGACTTTTGGGATGAACTTTGGTGTTCGTTAAGATCGTCAGACAGAATAGACGCATGCCTAAGCCCACTATAATAATAATATCAGAAATGTGCGAGCAAAGATAACCAGTAAAAAATCTCATGCATTATTTTGTTTCCTAGTCACACGTAATTAAAATTTAGTAACGTACAATATTTGTAATATGATAAATATATACATATTTACATCTATAGATATATATATATATATATGTGTTTTTAAATCACTTAAAACACGTAGTAAAATATTAAGAAATAATAAAACAAATCCTCATCATTTTCATTTAAGCATAAAGAGTTATTCATATATTCTATAAAATTTTAGATTTTGTCCATCTGACAATAGACTTTTTATATAGACCGTAGGCAGACCATTGTATATCAAGTTTTCAATATTGTACGCAAGTCAAGAACTCTTTGTGTATGAGGCCAAGTCCCACTTATTCAGCATTTCTATATTTTTATTCTTAAAGTACTTAACGAAAATATACCACAATTTACCGTACGCACATGTTTGACAATTTTTTCTCTTATACATATAAGTACATATTCCGTGTAACATTGTAGTTATCACCCATTTACAAATTTCGCTATAAATTTTATAACTCAATTCAGCACTCATTCAGTAAGTTCCGTCGGTACCACTCATTTATCTTTTGAGTGCATTGTGCCAGAGTTAAACTTGTTCATCCGTGAACATATGATATGATAAAAACATATCCGTATCCGGTGCATTATAATTGCAGAATCCTGAACAGTAGCGAGATTGCATGTTTCATATATACATCATAATATGTTTCATTTATCAAATCTTTAAAATGATAAGTTATTTCATAAAACATCAAATAAAGCTTCATAGTAAATTTGATGACAGTTTATATCAAAATGCGTAAAAAAGCCACATGAAGCATCATTATTGTCAAATTGAAGAATTCTCAAATGAAACATATTTAAGATGTTTCATCCAATATAGCCATTTTAGATTCCTTGTTCTAAATATAAATCATAAGGCTCATTCACAAATAATATAATTTTCCCTTCCCTAAGCGTCTATATCTATCAACAAACAGATCACGCTTATGTTGTCTTGTTAAAAGTACCCAAGAACAGGTTTTTATGCCCCCACAAAGGCGAGGTAGGCCCCGAACAAAAGCAAGACGGGCTGATCTACATGCATACGTAGAGTTAGTTACAGCTTTTTTTTTTGTATCGTGAGTAGGAGAAAGAATAACGTCGAGGCAGGTAAGTAACTCGATAGGCGAACGTGACCCTTGCGACTCTCACCAGCTACATTGTTCGTGATACATGATACCTACTCTTTGAAGGACCACGGACGCGTGTAAAATATTTCCTTGCGGTCACATTATTTCCGTTTAGTTTAGAATGGTATAAGTATATTAAACCAGTTCATTTTCAGACTGTAAGCATTTAAATGTTGGACATAAAACGTAGTTTTTTTTTTGTTTAAAACAATACAGAAATAAAATCGCTAAATATAATAAATCTATGAAAATAAAAAGCTTTATGTAATAAAAAGAAACTATGATTAATCCCTCGTATGCCTATGAAATAAGGTAAAGAACAAAGAAAATCTCTGATTCCGTTTTTGCGTTTAACAACCACCTTTGATATAAAAGACTTTTAGCGGGGTACTTCTTATAAATAAAGGTTTTTCTTTCTTAGGTTTTCACGCACATCACTCATTAAATAAAATAAGTTTCAACGGTGTCGATGCACTTTGGCACTGATTTATTTATTTATGACGTTTCGCATCCTTGTCAGAATGATATTGTCGTCAGAATTATGATGACATCGTAAACCATTCGTTGAAACTTATTTTATTTAATAAAGGTTTTATGAAATGACTACCTAATTAGGACTCCACATTAATCGAATAAATTTCGGGATATTGCACATACCAAAACTGCTTTTAAAATTGCAAATAAAATAATTCCTGGAACATTAAGAAACACATTATGTCGATTCTGTATTTATTATAAATTGTTTTTTTTATTACATTCCCTCAGAATAAGTAAACATATTCTGAAGGCACGTGCTCCCAAAATTTGTTCCCTGCATGCTATCATTCCTTCCTGTCTGCATCAAAGTTTCACAAGAGTGAAGAGTACCAAGTTTCATCGAGTTACACGCAAATTTTTATAATAAATTGGGACGATGTAGGGATGGAAGTAAAACGTATGAATAAATTAGATAACATCAATATAAAAACCTCTCATTTGACACAAATTGCTTCACTTCCTTGATTTATTATGGGAATTGGGTGAAAAATTAAAACCATTTTGAACTCCATTAAGTAGGTTCCAATTTAAATTAATTAGGATACAGAGCTTCTGTGTATGTGTGTGTATGTACGAGTGTAAAAAATTTGCCTTGTAGTTCGCACATCCTCCCTTACTCATTTACCTTTTATAATTTCAAGCTGATTGGGTTGCCTGGAAGAAATCGCTTATTAGCGATATAGACCACCCTCTGTGCAAAAGTGTATATTCTACTTTGTTTTGTTTGCTGGTTGTGTTATCACTGTATTGT